AAAATCGAGTTTAGTGGGAAAATATCTTACATTTTCCGATTCGAAAAATTATAATTTTACCTTACATATTTAAAGATAATTTTAACAATACATCTTTTTATATTTTTTTCAATTAAATCTCTATTTTTATTGAATAAAAGTAATATATTTTTAATAAATATATTATTTCGAGTCGGGTTATGTCGAGTCGAATTCAAATTTTATCTTAAAAAGACAGGTCAAGTTCAAATCGGGTGAAAGCTATATATTTTTCAGACCAGATTTTGATCGGGTGAAAATATAGAATTTTTAGATTAGATCGAGTAGATCAAAAATCTGAACCGATAGACCCATGCCGATCCCTATTTCTGCCTGTGGTTTTGCTTTCCCGAAAGCAATAATATTATAAGTATGAATTTGGTAAGAAATTTTTTTTCTAAAAGTGATTTTTACACACAAAAAAAAAATAAAATAAAAAAAAGGATTCCCACCTTCAGCGCCGCTTACTCTAATTCTCTCTCTTTTTCACGTTATTCACCTCCTCTTTTTCGTCTTTATTTTGTTGATGTTTTTCTTTATTTTTTATATTATATATATATATATATATATTTCACAAATTCTATCATTAATTTTTTTTCTTTAGATATATTTTTATCTTTTTATAAGTAGTTAAGTTGTTTTTTTTTAATTTTTTTAAAATTAGATTTGACGTTGCATTAACCGATCAATATGACATTTATTTATTACTTTGTTGGTTTTCCTGTTTTAGACTCACAAATTTGATTTAGATACACAATTTGTGTTCGAATGTGATTTTCTCATGATACTCTACTTTGGTTTTCAAACGTTTGTGGTATTTCAATGGTTTGATCTCATGTTATGATTCTCTTATCAATACAATCAGATCTATTCATATCTATATTTTGTTCAAATTTTTTTGGATGAAATTTTAAGTTTTTTTTTCTCTTTGTATGGTTTTAGTGACTTTTTTTGTGTCAATTGATTATAGAAAATATCTTAATTATATATAGCTTTTAATCGTTCTTTACCAAAAAAATTACATTTATAATTATAAACCTTCATTATAATTTTGAATATTTTTTTCTACTCAATAAAATTTATAATTATTTTAATCGTTCTTCATGTTGTGGGTGGGATTGCTTTGTATTGAACAGTTCAAGGACTTATGGAAGAATTTGCCCATCTTTCTTCCTCTTTTATCTATTTTATTATTCTTTCAGTTTCAGATCTCAAAGCTCAACCAAAAGATTTAACATGTAAGAAATATTTCATCCCAATTATGTTATAATAAGAATCACCTTCTCCGAACTACAAGACGAGCTCAATATTTTCACGGATGATGGTTAGAAGTTATTGGAGGATTTGAGGGGTTTTTAGTGTTATTATCTTCATCTTGTTTGTACATTTTAAACGTGTTTTCTTTTTGTAAACCAAAAAAAAACGTGTTTTCTTTTTGTAAACCAAAAAAAAACGTGTTTTCTATTTGTAACTCATCCTTATTTCTTTCGTAAACCATACCTTCGTTGATGGTCTATCGTACGTGTCGAAATTTTTAGAGACCAATATTATTTAGACTGTTATAGTCACTTGACATGATCACTCATTGAACGTTCATTGTCAAATGATATTTCGTACGTCGAAAATTTTAAAGGTAACGGGTTCGAGCACGAGCGGCTAAAATAAGGTAATAGAACATTTATTATCAAATGGTAAAGAGTACTGAGAACAAATACTACTTTGTAATCACTTTAGATTCATAAAAAAACATTCATATTTATTAGCTTTGTCTACTTCGGATAATCATCGTGACCTTAAGTTTAACATCACCTCTAAGAGTCACTATATAAACCACCATGCATAGTTAGAGAATAGATCTTGAATTCTTTTTCTCTATGTAGATATATCTCCACACAATATATCATCTTCTTCGATTACCTAGAGCAATCAGTACTGTGGCTCTTTGCTGAAATTAGAAGGGGTAAAAATACTCTTATTTTAGAGCATTAATCGTTTGTTAACTAACGGTTTTCATCTACGGAGGAGTTTTTTTGTCCTAAAATGAAAAATTGGAGGCTAAAATGCTATAAAAATAGAATATGAGGGAAAATAATCAATTTGCTAGATATTAAGAGAGCTAATTTTGGTATTATATTAATTTTTTATTATATTTATATGGACACACCTAATAATTTTTTTTTGTATCCACCACTGCATGTACGTCACCATGTATGGCCGGAGAAGGGATCAACTCTCTTTTTTCCTTAGATCTATATCCGCATAATTTATCATCTTCTTTAAATCATTAGAACAATCAATCGCGACCCTCCGCTTATATTAAAAAAAACCATCAACCAGGATGATAGTTTTTCATCTATAAATTTATTTATTTTTAAAAACCATCGATACCCACGTCATTGTAATGAATATATTGTACTTTCAATTCAATAGCCTTATATAGTGGAGGAAGATATGGGATCAAAACGGTTGATTTGCAAAGGTACACAAATCTATACAAGCTCGTATCAAAATAAGCACGAATCAATTTATCTTAGTAGTTTAAGAAATTATTATTGTTTTTAGAGGTCACGAGTTCAAGCACTAGAGACTACAATAGGGTGATTGAACGTTCATTGTCAAATAATTGAGAATATTTAGAACATATACTACTTTATAATTACCTTAATTTAATAAAAAAAAAAAGATCAAAATGAGAAGCATAGTGAAAGGATAGAAAAGGAAAGATTTAATAAAATATAGAAATGAAAAATTAAAAATAAACATTGTTTTAGACTTTTGGTATTACAAGACAAAAGGTACCATTGGTAAATTTGTCAGAACTATAATTGGACACGTGTTTGGTTATGCTTAAAGACCTTTTTTTTCCCTGTTTCTTTCCAAAACCAGCATCTATTAATTAAAATAAAAATCGTTAATTCTTTATTTGGCATTACAAACTAAAATTCAGACCTTCATTTAAGAAAAGCAGATGTTATAGCAGAGTACTTAGGGAATTAAGGATTTTTTTGGATAAACTTCTTGAGCAGTTATTTAATTATGGGTGAGGTTCTAATTTAACTATTGATCTATGAATTTTAACAATTAGATCATTTAGCTATTTAAATAATATTAATAAAATCAATTGTCGATGAAAATAATTACGTGATAGTTTTAAACCGAAGTTTTAATTACTTACACATTTGGTATTAATTACTTACACATTCTAACAATTAGAGCTCTTCATCTGATTGAAGGAAAAATTGTGAAACCGAAGTTTTAAACAAGGGGTTCAAACCGAGACGCACGGGAAGAGAATTAAGAGCTCTAACCATTGAGCCAAATCTATCATTTAAATGAATTATTAAATAAACTAGACTTAAGAGGAATTTTTTCTAATAAGATGATGATATGTGTTATCATCAAATTGGATGATTTAAAACTAATTTGATAACATGTGTAGGTAATGAAGATCGAACGTGTACCTATACAAATTTACTTAACTACCATCTTAATATTTTCATATAGACAAGGGACTTGATTGATATCATTTGAAAAACTAGAAGACATTATTGATAAAATTAATAGATTAATGATCAAATTAGAACTTCCCAATAATCAAGTGACTATTCAAGTAGTTTACTTTCTTTTTATTCCTTAAAGAGAAAGCAAAAGAATAGATAAAAGGGGAAATTTTGTTTTTGGAATTTGTTTCTTTTTACATTTAAGTTCTGTTTATTTGTTGTAATTAGTTTTTTGAAAAATATTTTTTTTATTTTTCAGTGTTTAGTTGACGGAAAATAGATAGTAAATGTATTGAATTTTCTTTGTATTTTTTGAAAAATAACTTACAATTTAATATTCCGTAAGTTAATTTACGAACTTTTCACTTCAAAGTATAAACACTCAAAATGTTATTATTTTATATATTTAATATTAATATATTATTTTCGTATCATTTGAATAAAAATATTAATTATTGAATTATATTTATTAATAATTTTAATAAAATAATATTATATAATTTTATTATTATACTTATATTATTATAATATATAATATTATGCTTTTATTTTAATAATATATAATAAATCATTAATTAAATTAATTTTATTTATTAATATCATAAAAAATAATATTATAGACAACATCATTTAAACACTGTAAAATGATTTTTAAAAATAATTATTTAATAATATGAAATAAATTATTTAAATATTTTAAAAATAATATAATTATTTTATTAATAAATAATATTATTTATTGTATTTAATGTTTATAATAATTTTTTTTAAAAAATTACTAACCATTAAAATATATATTAAATAACATCATCTAAACATTGTAAAATAATTTTTAAAAAATAAAATTTAAAATTTATTTTCTGAAAACTATTTTCCTCCAAAGAGACTGCTAAATGTTATCCGTTTACTTTCCACTTTCTCACAAATTTATTTAGTTTGCTGGTGTGTTTTGTCATTTTCTTTGGTTGCACTTAAGGTAAATTTCTCCCCAGCTTCTTTTCTGAAATAGATATTTATTTTTAATTGTATTTTACATTATTATATAAATAAATTATTTCATATGTTATTGATTACTCATCTTCCTTCACCTATTTCTTGCCTCTCTGCAACTCACTTTCTTTCTTCATTGTAAGAATTTCCCGTTTCGTATTTTTTACACTTGTTTATTGCCAATATAACCTTTTTTTTCACTTTTCTTTGACCAAAGCTTCCATTTTTAAGTTCTGGGTATCACTGGTTTTCTTGTTAAATTCGTACGAGACTTATCGAATTAGTTAAAACATTTGGTTTTTTTTTCTTGATCTCTGAATTGAGATGATCATATCCTTTAGCTCCACTTGTTGTGTCCTATCATGACCCCTTTTTTGGGCTTAGTTTGATGAATCTTGAGTTGTATTATTGAGTTTTACTTTTTAGTCATAGATTCTGTAAACTTTTTGGCATGATCTAAATTTTTGATCAATTTTAATTCAATGTTGTGAGCTGCAAAAATTGATGGCTTTATTGCTGAACTGAGGACTGAGTTGGCCGATTACATTGCTGAGTTATCAGAGGCAGCAGTGAAGGAGAGAGGCGTTTTTGCTATTGCATTGTCTGGTGGTTCTCTCATTGACTTAATGGGGTATCAATGCATTCATTTTCCATCTTTGGGTCTTTTTTTTCACTTGTGATTTTCGTGTTCTTCCTTTAAAGTTGTGTTCTTTTTTGGGGCAGAAAACTCTGTGAAGCCCCTTATGATAAGACTGTAGACTGGGCTAAATGGTATATATTTTGGGCGGATGAACGTGTTGTGGCAAAAACCCATTCTGATAGCAATTACAAGCTCGCAAAGGATGGTCTTCTTTCAAAGGTTAGCAACTCATTTCATCCTCTGTTTGATCCCTTTCTTTATCGAGTATCCAGTGAGTCTAGTCGAGCACTGCTTAGCTCGTGATATACTCGCTCGATAAGCACCCCTAAATTCTTTAGTTCATGCATAAAGTACAGATTAGTTCTTCTACTGTTCTTTGATTTGACTGATCCACACTTCTAGAAGATCGTGTTAACTGGTAGTATTAGTTTACATTTGATATGCATTCATCTGATTATTCATCTATGGATTCCTTGTTTTCAGTGATACCTTGTTTGCTGTTTGAATTCATTTGATCTGGTATCGAATTCGACATGAATGTATCGAGTATTTTTATGTTGTTTTTCGATTGGTTTAGATGTTTGGTTTCATTCAGCTCAAGTTCTTAATCCAGCAGTGCTTTCATCAATGGATAGATTGGAATGAAAAATTATGCCTTAATGTATACGTTCTTATGGCAAATGACTTGGATCTTTAGGTGCCGATCGTTCCCAGCCATGTTCATTCTATCAATGATTCAGTTTCAGCAGAGGAAGCCGCCGACGACTACATGTTTGTTGTCCGGCAGTTGGTGAAAACACGAATGGTTAGCGTTTCCGACATCAGTGACTGCCCCAAGTTCGACCTTATCCTTCTTGGCATGGGACCTGACGGTCACATTGCCTCGCTATTCCCTAATCATTCGGCACTTGACGAGACCGACGAATGGGTAACTTTCATCATCGATTCTCCCAAACCTCCACCCGAGAGGATAACGTTCACTCTGCCTGTCATCAACTCGGCATCAAATGTGGCAATGGTCGTGACTGGTGAGAGCAAAGCCGAGGCTGTGCATTTGGCAATTGATAATATCGGACACGACCGCCCATTGCTGCCTGCACGGTTAGTCCAACCAACAAAAGGGAAGTTGGTATGGTTTTTGGACAAGCTAGCTGCATCGGAACTGGACGGTCTTCAATTTTCGGAGTAGGGTCACAAACTCTATGTTTGTATGTAGTAGGAGGGTTTCACAACCTGTTGATTGTCCGTCCTCGATCCGTTCCCGTTTCTTCATCATTTATACTCTGGTTTTTCGTCTTCTCGTTTGTATTTGAGGTGGGAAGTTTGGAATCCATTTTGTAAGGAAAGGGAAAAATAATAAAAGTTGGGGTCTTAATGCAAAAGATTATTGCTGGTTCAGGTTCAATTCTCCTGACATGGAAGATCAAAACGTGTCCATCTCCATTTTTGCATGAATCGAATTTTCATCCATCTGTTCGAGAATGTTTTGAGTCGAGTTGAATTCAACTTTGATTATTTCGAAGTTGGGGTATATGTTCAGTTGAAGATCTTCAGTTACATATTTGTAGTACAACAAACAGTTCAAAACAGCACCATTATTGTACTGCATCTAAAAAATAGTGTCGTAACCGGTTTTCGTCCGGGCACGAAATATTATACTTGGCAGGGAAATTGATGTGAATAAATAATTTTGAAAATAATTTGTGAGTCGCCATCGGCCTTTTGGATCAGGTAGGTCGAATACCTAAAAATTATTTTCTTTAAAAGAGTTTTAAGAAAACATCAATTAAAAAAATGAACTGATCTGCGTTTTATAACCAAAAATTCGTTCTTTTTAATAATAAAAAGGGATTCGTGGTCGGTTACGTTTAGGGAAGGATTAACACCCCTACAACGCCCAAAATTGGTACTTTTTAATTATAAATTGTCTCTATTATTAAAATTTAAAAATTCAAAAATATATTTAATTTATAATCCTATTATTTCAAAATTATATAAAAAATATTTATTTATTTAAAAATATCAGAAAAGAACTTTTAGGTGCCTTAAGACAGCTCTTTTCTTTGATATTGATAAATATTAATTTAAATAATATTGTTTAATTTTTAATTTTAAAATATCAGAATAGGACATCCAGTTGTATTAAGACTGTCCTTTTCTTCGATATTAAAAATAAATATTTAAAAATTACTATTTATTATATATATATTTATGAATACATGAAAATATTTAAAAATATAAACAAATAAAATAAAAATACCACTAAAACAATATATTTTAAAAAACAGTAAAATAAATGAAAACATATAAAATAAATGACTAAATTACAGTAAAAATAAAACTAAAAATCTAATTAATAATTAATCAAAATTATAGGGATTAAACATGCTATTTCTTTATTTTATTTATTTAGTGACTAAAATAAAATTATCTAAAATTCGGATATTAGAATAAAATAAATTAAAAATATAAACTAAGGATTAAAATATTATTTATTAAAATTAAGGGATTAAATCTGTTATTTATCCTAAATATATTATTTTAATATAGAGGACTAAAATAAAAGAAATTAAAATTAAAGACCTGAATTAAAAGTATTATAAAATCGATTTAGTGACTAGAATGTAAAAATTACAAATTCAGAGGACGGCGGACGGGGTTTAACTATTATCTAATTACGCGCGTAGTCCTTCCCGAAACGACGTCGTTCGGGAAGGCCTATATAAGGTCCAAAACCGGCTGGCCCGAAGGGCCAGCCTTCATTTCATTTTTTTCTTTCTCTCTCAAGCCGAGAGAGCTCTGACCTCTCTCTAGATTCCCTCATCGGAGGGAAGCCGGTCACCGGACGGCAACCGTCTGCCGCCGTGACCATCATCGCCGGCCACTGCATCCGGTGGCCGGAAAATTTTATTTTTACACCATTAGATAGATCGGGACGTCCTAAGGACGTTTCCGGTGTTCTTTTTCCTTAAAAAGCTCCTAATCGGAGCGAATCTAAAAAAAAAGTACCTTCGGTGTTTCGAAGGTTCCGGTGAGATCCGGTGGTCGGGGCTTCCTCGGTAAGTTTCTTTTCTTCATTTTTCTTTCTTTTCTGTTTCTTTGCTGCTGAGATCGTTGGTAGTATTTTGTATATATATATATATTTTGGTTTTGTCTCTCTGGGATCTGTTCTCTGTCTTCTTCTTTTTTTTCTTTTTTTTTTCAGGTTCGGGTGGTGGCTTTTATAGCCACCACCGGTGTGGCCATCGGACCGGTCCAAAGAGGGGATTTCGGTGAGTCACTGGACTACCAGTGGTGACTCACCCCGTAGCCATGGCGTGGACGGCTGGCGTTGGAGCTTCTGGAGCCTTCGGTTGGGACGTGGCAGCGGCGGAGGCGGCGAGAGCAGCAGCGGCGGCCGCGTGGCCCTAAGGTATCATACCCTAGGGTTTCCATCTGGAGCCATCTGGACCGTTGGATCTTTCCAGATCCAACGGTCAGTCTGAGGCGGCTGGCTAGAGGCGACTGGCATGGGATTAGGGTTAGGAAACCCTAACTGAAACCCTAAATGTTTTGGGTTTCAGTTTGGTTTGGGTTTTGAGCCGGTTGATTGGGCTTTGTAATTTAATATTATTTATTTAATATATATTTAATAATAATAATAATAATGATAATAATAATAATAATAATAATAATAATAATAATAATGATAATAATAATAAAAATAATAATTATAATATGGGTAAAAAATTAGTATCTTCAGCTGCCCCTCTTTGCTCATTCTTGTGTTAACAAGAATAGGGCAAAGATGAAAAGATAATAAATTTTTTTATCCATTTGGCTTCACTTGATCATAATGGAGATATTGAATAAATTCTTCTCTTTCTTCAGATGAGTTCTTCTCATTATGAACTTTCTGCTGGGGATGATGCTGACCTCTTTCTTTCTATGATAGAGTCATTCAAAAGGTTTAATAAGCTTTTGATGAGTTCTTCTCATTATGAATTTTCTCCAGAAAGACTGATGATAATCTATCTCCTTCTGTGATAGAATTATTGAACAAGTTCTTCTTATTATGAACTTCTTCTTCCTTCTTCAGATGACGAGTTCTTCTCATTATGAACTCTACCTGGCAATGTTGATCCATCAAATGATGAATTCAAACAAAAAGTTGAACAAGTTCTTTTCATTATGAACTTCTTCTTCCTTCTTCAGATGACGAGTTCTTCTCATTATGAACTCTTCCTGGCAATGTTGATCCATCAAATGATGAATTCAAACAAAAAGTTGAACAGGTTCTTCTCATTATGAACTTCTTCTTCCTTCTTCAGATGAGTTCTTCTCATTATGAACTTTCTCTGGAAAAAATAATCCATCAAGTGATGAATTCAGACAAAAGGTTGAACAAATTCTTCTCATTATGAACTTCTTCTTCCTTCTTCAGATGAGTTCTTCTCATTATGAACTTTCTCTGGAAATGATGATCCATCAAATGATAGATTTGAATCTTTGCTAAAATCTTTGAAATTCCTGTTAAAAATTCAACATAGATGAAAATGAATGAAAAATGCACTTATTTTTGTAAACACCTAAAATATGATGCATGGATGTTAAGTTATTTGATTTCAGATTGGTGAATTGAGTATTTCTTCAATTGTAAAAACCCAATAGATCTTTCTCTATCATCTTTGACAAATGTAGATATAATGTCATAAAATCTCTTGAGAATAAAACTCAATAGTATAGGTTCTTGAAAAGCTTGCATTCAGGCAACATGTTGATTCTGATAACAATTCATCTGATTATGAAGTGACCTTTCAAGATGATTTCACAGATATCGATAGTTCTTCTAATACCGAGAAATCTTGAATTTTGATTCTGATGAGGAGAATAAACTGTTATACTTGACAAAAATGGGATTCTCAGAGGCTGAAACTTCAAATAGCCCTGGGCTATGATTTTTGGGAAAGGAATAAGCAAAAGAAGCTTGAAAAGAAACTTCTTAATGAAGACGATCATGCAGTTCATCTTTTAATTCCAATGATTGGTTTTGTAGTTCCTACCAAACCAGATCAGATAACTCAAAGAACACCTCCAGAAGATGCTATTGAGTCTCCTTATTTCTCCTATGAGCAAATTCATCTTCCAAGTTCAATGATTGGTTCTGCCAAACCAGATCAGATAACTCAAAGAACACTTCCAGAAAATGCTATTGGCAAATTCATCTTCTAAATTCAATGATTGGTTCTGCCAAATCAGATCAGATAACTCAAAGAACACTTCCAGAAAATGCTATTGGCAAATTCATCTTCTAAATTCAATGATTGGTTCTGCCAAATCAGATCAGATAACTCAAAGAACACTTCCAGAAGATGCTATTGGCAAATTCATCTTCTAAATTCAATGATTGGTTCTGCCAAATCAGATCAGATAACTCAAAGAACACTTCCAGAAAATGCTATTGGAAAATTCATCTTCTAAATTCAATGATTGGTTCTGCCAAATCAGATCAGATAACTCAAAGAACACTTCCAGAAGATGCTATTGGCAAATTCATCTTCCAAATTCAATGATTGGTTCTGAGATATCACAATGCTTATTCGATGTAGAGCCAGAATTTGTAGATTCGAAGCATTTCCATGCTATTACACTGAAAAGGGCTATATTCATAATTCTGCCAATTAATAACAGATTTTCTCTTATTCTGCTTCCTCCATGTGCTGATGCTTTTCCATTGACAAAGAAATGATGTCTTTCATGTGATCCAAGAACCAAGTTGAACTGTTTATAAACATGTACAGGAAGTGTCAAATTGACAGAAAGGATCTGTAAGGTTCTTGAAGCTTATGACAATGAGCCATCTTCAAGTGTCCAGAAGTATGTTCTTGATGAGTGCTGAAAATAGAATCTAGTATGGGTTAGAAGGAATAAAGTTGCTCCACTTGAACCTGATGAGGTGGAAATACTTCTAGTTTTCCTTAAAAACCATACACAAGGATCTGTATAGAGACATGTTTCCCAGTGATATCAATGTCTTGTTTCTTTTTGCTGGAATCAATGCTACAAAGGTCGCCTTCTACTGTCTTAGTATATCTTTGAAAACAGATGTGCAAGAACTGAATGGTGATTGGTTGGAGCAATTGATGAGTAGATTTGGCGGATTCGACCTTGTTGTCGGTAGGATCCCGTGTAATAATCTTGATGTTCATGGCTTTAAGATGGTGATGATTTGCTTACTTTATATTCCATGTATTTAAAAGTATTATCATAAAGTGATATTTAGAAATCTTTAAATTATTTCAAAATTATGTTAATTCATATAAAAGAATAAATTGAATTTCCAAAAATAAATTGAATCTCAAATAAATTGAACTTGAAATAGATAGAATTGTATTCAAAGTTATGGCAAGCATAAGAATGATAAAAATTCAAATGTCTCAACAAATTATAAGCATAAGTATTTCTAAATTAATCAAGTTGACACAATTTAGAG